ATCCCATTTCTCACTTTTTGTCCGATCTGTTCGCACTAATGGGTTTACGCGTCCGTCATTTCATTCGTAAGGGCATGTGCGCTCTACGACCTATTAAAGTAATGATAATATATATATATATATATATATATATATATATAATACAATATAATATAAAGTACGTGTTACGATGTTTATCTCAAATGGACTTCTAAGCAACTGAACCGATTTTAAAATTCATCTACTCAACGTGCGCACTATAATCCAACTTTGACCCTTATTGATTAAATGAATATTAATTTAAAGTCGAAATCTTATATTATGATCAATCAATTTTCACAACATAGTAACATTAAATTGACTAACTTGAATACTTCAAGATTTAAATCTTTGTTCATAAAAAGCAATAGCATTGTTTCAAAATTTCTTGCAGTTTTGTTTGTTTATATATGTTTATATCAATAAACATTTTTTTATTCATGTCCTTTACGAGTTTTTGAAAATCATAAATCGCCAATGCCCTTAAAAGTTTCTTATTTGCAATAAATTCTTATTTATAATATATCAAGTCTTAAATAACTTACAATTATATCTTGAGTCAGTAATCATTTACTACGACTTCTCGTAGCATCTTCTCACTACAATAGTAGAGATAAATCCTTGGAAAATTCCCTTTCTGACTTTGAGAGGCAGTGGCGGAAAACATGTAATTACTAGGTTCACATTAATGATTATTGTAATAATTTATTACCATTTTAAGGTGTATAATTAATTTAAGATGAATTTATGCAAAATTATATGATTTAAAAATAATAATTGATACCTTTAACACTATAATTATTAAATTTTACAACTTAAAATTATAGTAATTGTAACTAATAATAATTAAAAAAAAAATACAATTTTTCAGAGTGAAAAATCAGATACTTTTGGGCAATTTACAAATGATCAATTATAACTGTTGTAATATTTTTAATTTAACAATAAATTATTATTAATATTAAAAAAAACTATTTTTTTAGGTTGGTGTAAACAAATTAGTTATCTAGATTGTAAAATAATCGTAGTTACAATTGCTTACTCGAGTTGATCAAATTTATACTAAAATTTTGTATATAGATCAATTTTTGTATTTGTGGAACTGTGCTTTTGAAAAGTGCTTTACCGTGGATTAGTAGTTAGAGATAAAAATACTTGTGTTCAATTAGAAGTACAAAGTTCATTTCTTCGGAATTTTGTCAAGCAGTTGCGGTTTTCCCTTGCAAAACTAGAGAACAAGTTTCCTAGTGAAAATAACCCTTGTCCGGCATTGGATTGTTCAAATAGAGTTACTTACTAAGTTCAAGGAATTGTATTTCAAAATTTATTAATGACCTAATGTTTAAAAATCAGTCTTTATTATCCTTCCATTGAGATGTTTGAACAAGACTCCTTGTATCTCTGCAAATATCGACGTTTCCATAGCAACAGCGCATGCCCATAACCTAAGTTTATATGTGTGCAATGTAGGGTCAAAGGACATTTTATACAAGGATATATTGTGCGTGGATATATATATATATGTATATATATATATGTATGTATGTATGCAATTAAACAAGGTGTATGTGCATTATTATAATCCAAAAACGTGTGGAAAACTTTCAGTGTTATTCGACGCGAAGGACTAGATATACACAAAACTTGTGCATTTGTACAAAAAAAAAAAATGAAAATAGTATGCGTTATTTATTTCTATAAATAATATTCATAAATTACGATTGGTTTCCTATCTCAGTGCTGTGAATTAAATTTGTTATTTCAAACTTTAAGCTCTGGTTATAACAAACAATATTTGGTAAGTTGGACCTAAATATATATTTTTAAAATTATTAAAAAAATGAGAATGAGCTTTATATTATGTAGTTTGCTGAAATGGAAACAAAAAGTTTCTTTGTTATTCTCGGGTTATCGACCGAAGCTTTTTAGGTTATCGTAGGTCTAGTTTCTAAGTGTGTCATGTTTTGAATTTGCATAGTACATTGCAGGAAAATATTGCCAGATTTATCATTTGAATGATGATATATTCATTATCAATGTTCAGATTTTGCTATTAAACAAGTCATCTAGTGATTGCATTAATCATCTATGCATCGAATATATTGTTTTATCGTTCATGTTTCGGTTAGTCTTTTGATATTTTTTATTTCTATTTTTTGTGGTTTAGGAAGTTTGCTTCAGCATATAATAGTCACATTTGAATGACTAACTCTATCAAAGGATCATGGTATAATTAAAACAAAATCTCGAAATTTTGCGTAAAAGTTTGCTGACTCGTTCTTTGCAAAGAACACTTAATTATTTCATTTATATTAGTTGATGATTTCTTCGAATTGAACAGTTCTAATACTTCTGTTTGTACCGGTAATTATAGGAATAAATTAATAAATTGCGCATAGTTTTCAGGATTAGAATAAAAAAATTATTTGTCAATCTAGTGTCAAAGTTCATCGTAGTTAACAGTAACAATGATTTTTTAATAATTCAAAAAAACCATTTGTTCGACCTCAAACCACATTCCTGTTGGCCAGTCTCAATCATTTTCATAAATTTGGAAGGTCATCCAGCTTGCCTTAAGGCATGCTTAAAATACATTTTATTGCCTAGATTTTATTTTTTGTTTTTGTTTATTTGCTTGTATTCTCTATTATAACAGAAGTTTCTATTTCCGGCTAAGACTCTAGTCTCAACCTAATTCTACAAAATTACATTGTTGCAAAAAAGAGGTTGACGTCCTTCGTTCCTTATTGCAAGATTATAAAAATATTATTAGCCGCATGTGCTTTTGAAAATAAATTAATAATCATTTGCTTCCACAAATTCAAAAGAGAATAAGGCAATCATAAATCACAGTAATTCATGTTGATTTGAGTGTGGAAAGAATGAGCTAAAGCACTCAAGAAAATTAACGTTTTATCACTCAATTTGTATTTCATTTGATTTCGAATTTTTAAATGTCTATGAAAATTATAATTGATTATTCATGTTTCTGGATAAAATTTGAAATAAAAAATGATAAAATTTTTAAATCAAATCAATTAACATATAATAAGTGCTTACATAAATGTAATCAACCTAACCAATCCAACAATTAATCAACACAATTCTTAACATTTTTCCAAAATCTTTTGAGCAATTTTTGTAAAAGGATTTATAATTTATGGCTAAAACGAGGATAAATAATTTTCATTTATATACTAATTCTAAAAAAAACTGCTTAACTCTTAAAAAAAATGCGTCAAAAATTCAAATTTAAAATTGAATTATATAATAAGATTAAATGATGTTTTTCAATATTTTTTTTATATATTTCGTTCACTTTTACCTATTTTTATCTAGCTTTGCAGCGAATGATCTATTGATCCAACTTTATGAATATAATTAATTTATAATTTTTTTTACAGATCTGCATCATCAGAATAAAAATTTCAGCAAATCCATGAGCCACAATATAATTATTCTATATTAAATATGTGAACTTTATTATGTTCACATAGTGAAGCTATACGTAATAACCTTATTGAAGTTCGGGCACACATCAACTCAAAAATGATATTCTGAGAGAAATAACTAAAGCTTGTGAGCAATTCGTGAGTACCATTTTTTTTAAATCTTTGTAAACTAGTACCTACAATCTACCCTTATGTAACGCGCTATAAGAACTCGGATTTAACGTACAAACCAGGTTTGATTCATAAAAATTTATCTCACTGAACTATGTCGTCAGAATACATTAAAAGTTTTGCGTTGTAATGAATTTTAAAATTTTTGTCAACGCTAAAATTTGTTAACAAATTTATGCTTATTAAGTAGATACTGAATTTGATAACGACTTCAAACCAAGTATAAATATCGCATACTGAATTGCAGAATTATGAATCGAAAGTCAATACTTGAATCACAGATATTCG